GAGAGACTACAGGAAGAGAGGAAAACACAGGGGTGTTTTTCTCGCCCTACTGAGCTTTGTGCCCAGCTCTCCTCATCGCGTTCCCGATCCCTCCGGACCGGCTGGCATCACACAAGGCTCTGGGTTTCACAGCCTGGCCGTGGCGTGACCCTGCCTGGACAGCCGTGGGATGCTCTGCCGTGCCTTCCCCTGGTCACTGCCTACCACCTGGCGGGGGCTTGGCTGGCTCCTGGGAGATCCTCAGGGAATTTGGTGCTTTTTTCCTTAAACTTCCAGTGCTCCAGAAATGAGTAAATTTATCGAAGTTTTTCCCTGACTCTCCTCCCCACCGTAATGTATGAAAAAAGCAGGATGCCGTGGCGTGCCACCTCCCAGGTATCTGCTCTCCAGACACTAGTGTACTCCTGGCAGGCCTGGCCTGAGATTTGTAGTGGAAAGCTTTACGAAAATTTGAAATATACTGGAGTCGGAAGGGTAATTTTTTGTGTGTTTATATTACTGTATAAATATTTTAAAAAATCGTATACATATGTGGAAGTTTTATTCATTTGAATTGAGGTAGGAGTTCATATTAGTTTTACAGTTTCCTTAAAGCGGAGTTAACTGTTTGAAGACCTTTAAGTTGCTATGTCAAATACTGATATAAGAGCTGCTGACTATATGGGTTTCTATCATCCTCCTGCTCTTTTTTCTTGTGGAGTTGGAGTTTGTGTGAGGAGGGACCCTGACAGGTAATAAAAGTGAAGATGACAGCTCTGCGAGTGAACTCTGAATTTATAGACTAAAATGTAAAGGTCTCTCACAAGCCAGTGCCTATAGGGAAGCTGGAATTGGAGTAGCTTCTGAAAGACTAAGGAATTTAAGTACATGCTGCAAGCTCTAATTTAAACAACCTAGTCTTACCTTTAACACTTTAATGGAAAAGGACAGTCTTTGTAAAAGTTCAGTCCAAGTGAAGAATATTGCCTGTACTTTGCTATTGATTGGAGCTAGTGAGTACTCTCTTATCCCATCTTAAAGAAAAAGTGTGGTCCTTAGTTGTAATATTTTGTGGAAGTTGTCAAATACTTTAGGTTTGCTTTTCAGTTGTTTCCCAAAGTATATCATTATGTGCATTTCACATTAAATAGAAGGATTACAGCCATGTTCTGTGCAGTGAACACAACATAAATAAGCTTGAACTGTTTGGAAGAAAAAAAGAAAAAAAAATAACCGGCACATCAGGCTTACACTGAGAGGCATGAAGGAATAAAAAAAATGTAGATGAGACAGAAATGGCCGAATTAGTTAAAAATAAGTCTTGAGGTAATGGCAACTAATAGCAGAAATCCAGCACCAATAAATTATTTTGTGTGTAATCATAATAATATCCAGTTTGGTTCTTTCAGTGCTGTGCTTGTTCTTATAATGTTTGTAAATCACAGGTTTTCTGTTTAAAACTCTAAATGCAGCTCAGTGAAAACTCCAGGCAAACTGTTTTCAACTGCTTTACTGATCTATCCGTTGGCCTCTGGGAAAACCAGCAGTCTTCAGATGCAGAGGTCGGGAAGTCGCTATGTAAATAGAGAGTGGGAGACACAAGTGATCACAGCATGATGTCCCATCTTTCTCCTTGACTTTGGCTTTATGATTTGGCATCGCTGATGGCTTTCAGCTCTATTCAGACATTGTGTTTGTTAAGATGATGCTCACTCTTTGGCAGAGAAGTGACAGCCAGAAGAGTGCCCTCTTTCGCCTTCCAAACCTCCCTACTCAATGCCAACGGTGGGTGGTGGTCGTCTTCCCTCCCCCCCCCAGTTTTACTGCTGTGGGCTGGAGAAGATTAACATGACGAATTGCATGGCTGAGGAGACCCATCTGTTGAAGATACAGAGTTACTTGGGTACTTGATCCATCTGCGCTGGGGGTGGACCTCTTGGCGAAGCAAGCTAGGGATGAAGGGTCCATTGTCTTCTCCATGATCCTCTTTGTTCTCCCCTGGCTGAGTTCAGCTCCCTCGTTGCGTGTGTCCGTCCTTCCTCTGGTCATCTTCTGCTTTAACTGTGGGAGAGGAGGAGCAGGGCTTGGGGCTTCATTGTGTGTTTTTGTTTTCCAAAGTCTGCTTGAGTAAATGGAATTTAGTGAGGAGTGCAGTGAAAGGACAAACTTAGGCATAGACAAGTAGTCACAAGGACCAAGGCCTGCCTCTCAAGGTGTGCTGCTTCCCTTAGAAGGAGAAAAAAAAAAAAAGGGAGGGCAGGGAGAAATTAGTTGAAGAGAAGACTCGGATATGTTTATTCCACTGGAAAATAATTCTTTTGATCTTCAGGGAGGTGTGTGAATTTAGGAGAGAGAAGAAAGACAGGTAATTTCTAGTTATGTTTGTTTTTTTCTGAAGCAGAGCCGCAGGCTTCCCCCCCACCCCCCCCTTTTTTTTCTTTATTATCATCAGACATTTAATTTCTCTGAAACGTTCCAGTCTCAGTGCAGCCTAAAAGCATTCAAACAAAATAGCATACACACCTGTCAGATCATGGGGCAAATGATAAGGGGATGCCAGTATATGAACCATAGGAATTAGCTCTTTGATGTGTAGCTTTAGAGCTAATGGCACCTCACTCACCTTAGGAAAGAGCCTTTGACTGCAGACAGTTTTGTAAGTTCCCACTTGTATCGGTGTATTTGTTGCTTAATTTGATGTATTTCTTGATTTTTTTTTTTTAAATTACATGGAAATTCAACTGTGACTTTTTCCTAATAATTTGAAATATTGAAATCATGTACCTCACAACAACACAACTGTTTCACAGAAATAGATGAAGTGCATTAATTGTTGATCGAGTTTGTCTTCTCCCTTTGAATTTGCCACGTCCTTTAAATGTCAGGCTCCAGAAGCTCTTTCAGCGCTATTTAGGCTGTCATGACTGTGCCCTGGGACAAATGTCGTGCAGTCACTCGTCTGCTCTGCCAGCCCAGAGAGGGACGGGATGAACGGCTGGAGGCAACGGCTTCTTAAACTAGCCCAGCTAGGCTTACAGGAGCATGTCTGGTCATGGCTTTAGCAACGCAGTGCATGCTTAATAGAACCCCAAACCTGTGCCGATTGGTATCGTAAGGCTAATGGAGGCGCGTGTACCTGTTTTATTTAGGCTGTCATGACTGTGCCCGGGGACAAATGTCGTGCAGTCACTGGGTCTGCTCTGCCAGCCCAGAGAGGGACGGGATGAACGGCTGGAGGCAACGGCTTCTTAAACTAGCCCAGCTAGGCTTACAGGAGCATGTCTGGTCATGGCTTTAGCAACGCAGTGCATGCTTAATAGAACCCCAAACCTGTGCCGATTGGTATCGTAAGGCTAATGGAGGCGCGTGTACCTGTTTCGTCTCCCCAGACAGCAGCGTACATACTGTGGCTGGTACACCAGTCATTGCAGAGCGGTTGTGCAAGGTGTTTTCTTCATGTTTGCAGTGAAGTCGCCATGGTTCAGCTGGGTGTCGACCTAGAGAATACAGGCTCTAGGTCAGAGGACGGTCAAACACTGCCCCTTGCTCTCGGCCCTGTGCTGGCTCGGATTTGTTACGGTCTCATTTTTTCATCTCGTGCGCTATCACTGCAGACCTTTCCTCTCATCACCTTAGGAAGAAATAGTGTTTTATTAATGTTTTGTTGCTTCCTGGGTCATCCCTTGCCGCTTCCCATTCCTGGGGCTTCCGCCTGTGTAAATCCAAGCTTAAGCTTTTAGTTTGGGTGGTTTTCCACTTTTGTCCTCAGTGCATCTAGTTGCGTGGCATAGCGTAGACCAACTTGAACCGGTCTCTGTCTGTGCCTTTTGCTTGCCCTGGATGCCAGGGATTGCTATCCAACGCTAATGCAGGAAGATGAAAAAACAGATCTGTTCAGAGCGTATTGCATGAGGAAAAAGCAGATGCCATTGTGCGCGAGAATTTCTGTTGGGGCTGCCAAAGCCATCAGACAAGGGGTGCAGCGTCAGGTTTGTCAGGGATAAGGATTTTGGGCTAGACCCTGACAGTAACACCTGCGCCTCGCATGGTGAGGGCTTCACATCTGGAGTTGGAGCTGAGGACATGCATTGTAGCCTCCTAGGTTTCCAGGTGTGGAGTTCTTTTTTTTTTTCCCTTTTTTTTTTTAATGATGCTTTGAAACCTGAAGCAGTGGTGAAACCCTATAGCATAGGTAAGCCGGTAACTGTAGCAGAACTAATTGTTGCACGTGGTTTGCCGTTCTTTGTGAAAAATATCTTAAGTCGCTTACTATGCATGATATTGCTGCTAACGTTTGTGATCGGAGTTCATCTGGGGGAGAGAGTGTGATGGCAAATCCAATAATGTACAGCAGTTAACAGTGCTGATGTGCTGTTGCACAGTTCTTTTGTGGACCGTGTTAGAAAGGATCGGGTGCAAGAGTGAAGGATATTTCTCAGTTTGAGTTGCTGAAACGATGTTTTATTTGCCAGGATAATTCATATCTCTGAATTTGTTTGAGAACTGCTTTTAATAATCCTGTTCTCTAAAGTAGCTGCTTAAGGTATATAGCAGTACCACAAAACAAAGCCTGTAACAGTAGATGATGCCATTGACAGTGTAGCTATAGGGATAATCAGTTCAAATGAGTAAGTGCCCCTGCAATCTTCGATACGCTATCAAGCTACCATTTTAAAGACTTATTCCAGTATTAGCAGCTGGGGGACTTGTGGGAGGAGGTTAGTTAGGTTACCAATTCTCTTTAAGCTGATTATAAGCACATGAATTTGTTAAAATGTTTTATTAAAAATGTCCGAGAAGAAGTTTTTAATGAAGCTTTCTTTTATGGGCTCTTCAGTTGCCTTGAAAAGGTGTTCATGCGTCATTCAGTAAACCTCCAAACTTCCCTACATTAAATTATTTCAGTAAAGCATATTTAAGCTTAAAAAAAATAATTCAGGAGTAATAGGACTTTTAATTGATATTTTTACTTACCTATACTTTGTGAGTTTACTATATGAATTCTTTCTGTTTTAATGTAGGCGTTTAGATGCTAACCATATAACTGCTATACCTGAAGACAGCTTTGAGGGTCTGGTGCAGTTGCGTCACCTTTGGTTGGATGACAACAGCTTGACGGAAGTTCCCATCTATCCGCTCAGCAACCTCCCCTCTCTGCAGGCGTTAACGCTGGCTCTTAACAAAATAACGCACATTCCTGACTACGCATTTACAAACCTTTCAAGTCTTGTTGTTCTGTGAGTATTTGTAACTGTATTTTGTAGGTCACTTTGATTCTCTCCTCAGTTACAGTTTTGATTAATCTGGGATGGCACTGGAAATGGCATTTTGCTAAGCTGTAGTTCAGTTGTCTAGTACCGACCTATACCGCCAACAGGAGATGCTACCACGTATGCTAGTCGACCCACTGAAGGTTTGCTGAAGCCTTTCTCCTAAACAGGAAGTCAAATGGGCTATGGGTAGCGAGATTGCCGTATGCTGTCCTGACATCTCATTTTAGTAATGAATATTTCAAACCAATGGTTGTCAGAGAAACCTTTCAGAGCTATTAAGAGAGGAAAGCATTATCTGTCACAGACCTGTTTCTGCATAGTCTTAAATATCTCCAAGGTTGAATGTGACAAAGTAGTTTGATTTACATGTTTAAATCCTATTTTTATCACACTTCTGGATAGAGAGTAAAGGTTTAAAACAGGTTGTCTTGACTGCAGGCAATCTATTCTGTGCCCATATGAGGATGAAATATTTTTGTCTGGAAGTAAAAGACATTCTTCTGCGTAGTCCACCCCATGCAATGTTTTTTCTAAGTCATTTAACTGTCTTGATTTCATAGAAGTATCTGATAACTTGTTAACTTACATGAAATCATTCACTTATTTTCATACTTGTTTTGTTTTTGTTTTTTAGACATCTTCATAATAATAAAATAAAAACTATAGGAAAACACTGTTTTGATGGATTAGACAACCTTGAAACCTTGTAAGTATGCTTCTTAAAGTAATTCGCTGTTCAGTGTTTGTCCCATTCCCAGCTTAATCGAGGCTACCTTACTGGTACGGTGAAGATTTTGCAAATAAGGCAAATAAAATGGTGTGCACCGCACAACACATACCACCACCACTTAGGTCCAGCTCAGGCTTCGGAACTGAAGGCTAGTATCAGTGCAGTGCTCCACCAGAACTAATTAACTATGTTGAGAAGCAGGTAAATATTAGCCTGGGTGAAATGTCACGCTGGATGATGTGGCTCTAATGTTCCTAGCCCTGATCTAGCTGGTGTATCGTTGCACAGCACTTCTGAGTCAGGTGGATATATCAGAAGTGTTTGAGCAGCCCTGTGGGTGATAAGGGACAAATATTTGTTTCTCAGATTTACTGTAGGATTAAGCATATTTAAAATACACTGCCCAAACTGTTGCGTGTGACAACAGGAGGTTTCTCGGAGGGCCCCAGTGGGCTGTTTCTCCGCTGCTCCTCCATTACTAGGTGGGCACCGCTGCCTGCCAAGGATCCCGTTGCTCATGTGTCCCCACAGCTCCTGAACCGATCCTCTGCGGGCTGGTAGAAAACAGCCTGGCTCCTGGTTCCCAGCCTCTCGTACGAGACGTTCACCTGAGTTCACCCCAAATACTGGCAGATATTGAGATGATGGACTGGTTTATCTGAAACAGCAAGCCTTGTGTTCCTTCGGACAGGAGCAGGGGACGGGGCAGGAAGCATCACCTTCCCCTGGCCCCGTGTCTGTCATCCCTGCTGATGATTCCTAGAACTGGGTGTCCATAGTGGCCGGATCCCAGCTCTGCCATACTCCTCAACCCTCCAGAGCACCTCCTTGGCAGGAATGGCTTTCGTCCTCTTGGGCTACGCTCCCCACTTCCCTTCAGCTCGCTCAGTGAATGTCTAATATGTATCTCCTTCAGCAGTGCATTTTGGTATGCTTAGGAGAATGCTACACGAATAAAACAAATGAAGGAGGGCAAGGGCACATCAAATCCAGTGACAACCTCTCTTAACGTGGAGTTTGAAGGAGTCCAGGAATGTTGCTTACTCCAGCTACCTTGCAATTCTCTTAGAACCTCAATTAAGTAGTAATTAGATGCTATGTAAATATGCGCAGCTGATGTAAGACTCTCAAAATGTTTTTGCTGCTCCTAAAGAGCCCCTTTTGCAGAAAAAAGACTGTAGCAGGTCCTGACATAACCTGTCACCGTTCTAGCAGTGAACTGAGATTTCAACAGATCCCCGTCACCGATGTGTACTGATTTCTGTGTGATGAGATTTCCCTCTGCTTCTGTTCGATAGTTATAATGCATTTTGCTACAAGGTCTGCTGTTACCCAGTAGCTTATTTACTTACTGTTTATTTTATAAAACCTGAAAGAAGAGTTTTCTGAATAAGCTAATAAAGAGTAGTCATTTGTATCTACTTTAAAAAAAAACAAAAACAAAACCAAACAAACTTTGAAATTTTAGTTAATTTCCTTGTAAATTCTGTTGAAGAAAAAATCTGTGAGTTGTTGAAAAATACTGAGCTTTGCTGTAAGGAAATGTTGTTTGACTTAATACGAATAATCCTGTGGATAATATTAAATGTTACCTAAATGTTACCTAAGTTATTAGTTGGTTATAAAGCATGTACATCAGAAGACTAAATCTAAGTTAAAAATCAAGTTATTCTATGGTCTAGTTAAAGATGTTCTGAGAACTTTTTACTTTTATTGAATTGTGTTAAATAAAAATTATTTTAACAATTCATGATCACTGTTAAGAATTTTATAATCTTCCTGCTTTGTTTCTTCTAGGGATTTAAATTATAATAACATGGTAGAGTTCCCTGAAGCCATAAAAGCACTCCCAAGTCTAAAGGAGTTGTGAGTATTATGAGTCTCCCTTTTTACCAGTTTTCTTTCTCCTTTCCATAAATGAAGAGAGAAAAGAAAGTCCCGGATTTAAGAAAGGTTGTCTCATTATGCAGCAACCTAGATCAGATGGAATTATGCTAAGCGATGCTATAATTAAAGGAAAATGTAATCATCAGCTAGAGAGGGAACCTATTGAAAATGATTTTGGAGTTGTATAAGCAAGCAATTTTTTCAGGAGCACAATCAGCATAGATCTTAATCATGAGCTGGTTTTGGCCTCCAGTAGCAGAATTAAGTATTCACTGATCACACATTTTCCTTGTCCCCTCCTTAAGAGGGGAGGAAGGAGAGAGAAAGCACAGAATCATGTTTTGGACAGAATAGTTTCTTTCTCATGAAAGATTTTCAGTTTAGCTGGTGTGCAGTAGACAGAAATCATGCCTTCAGAGTCCTTCCTAGAGTTTGACTCATTCCTATTTAACTACAATCCTGGTTTTGGCAGGATTGGGAATGGAGTAGGTGTGAAGAAAATGTCTATTGGTTGAATCTACTGGTGGTATATTTTTAAATGTTGGTTTTCTTCTTTGCTAATATCTTTAGGGGATTTCACAGTAACTACATTTCCATAATTCCTGATGGTGCATTTGCAGGAAACCCCCTTCTAAGAACGATGTAAGTAATTTTCATGCATCTATTTTCAGTCTTTAGCAGACAGTGACTGTAAGAACAGCGATTGAAATGTGTTTTTTCATTTCCCAGACATTTGTATGATAATCCTTTGTCTTTTGTGGGGAACTCAGCATTTCAGAATCTGTCAGATCTGCATTCCCTGTAAGTATCTTCTCAACTATATAGTACAATAAATGGACATGAAATACTGTGGCTAAGAACGCAAAATAACTAGATTTTCTTACCTAATAATTTTTTTGCAGTAAGCTTTGATAAACGTTGTTACTGTTGGAAATATCCAGTTTCTTAAGAAGCTCTAGTAAATATGCTCTACAATCTTTTTTTTTTTTTTTTTTTTTTTTAAAATCTTCATTACCTTGCATAAGACACATAACCTGAGGCCAAATGCTCAGGTTCTTACTTAAACAAACTGCAGTATGTCCTAGGTGGTTTTTGGACAGGGATGTACATTGTGAGAATGTTTTGCAGGTTAGTGCATGCATGATCTCAAAAGACAGCAGTTCTGGGGGTGACGAGAAAAGCAAAATGGAGTCAGACTTCAACCTTGGAACTACAAACTACCTATGACTTTATGCCTCTTTCATACATGTATTGATATGACTCTTTCCAGCTTGATGAATTCCACTTGTTTGCTAATGGAGGAGTAATTTATTATGCAAATTACTAGTATGAGAAACAGTGAAAAGACTACCTTCGTGTGTAAAATTTAAACAAAACCAGTAAGGATGTTAGAATGTCTCCTTAGCGAAAATATCCACCTGATAGCAAGATTGAATGTCACAATTCTTTGCAGAATAGTTTACAGCTAATTTTTGTGGGGATTTTTTTAGGGTTATTCGGGGTGCCAGCATGGTGCAGTGGTTTCCTAATTTGACAGGAACCGTTAATCTGGAGAGTTTGTGAGTATTTTCTACAGAAATAATTTCCAATAATTCCTCATTTTGCCTCTTGTGAAGTGATTGAAATATGATTAGTGGATCTGGAGGGCAACTGGATATATGTTCTCTTCCTGTCAATAAATGTAATTCTATAGCTTTCCTTACTGTGATACCCTATTAAAAACAAAATTAAGAGGCACCTAGGTAAGCTGACTACAGCCTCAGAAACCCCCCCTCTCTCAGAACTGAAAAAGAGAGAAGTTGGCCTCTTCCAAAAATCCAAGCCAAAAAAAATTTTGGTGGGTGAATCTAGCACCCCAATAGCTGTGACACCATCCTCCTTCTGCTCTTACATATGCTTGTTGTGTCATCTACCATCAACAATGCAAACATTGATATATGTTTTGTTTTGTGGGTTGTTTTTTCTTCACAGAACTCTAACAGGGACCAAGATAAACAGTATTCCTGTTAATTTATGCCAAGAGCAAAGGGTGCTACGAACTCTGTAAGTATACACATCGTGCTCCTATCTTCATCTGCATCAAAATGTTTTAAAAGAAATCTAAAGCTAATGTAAAACAAAAGTTTTGCTTAGAATTGCTCATCCTAGTAGTTCTATCAGAGTTGGAAATCTGATTCTGCTTTCTTGATTCTCCAAACTCATGGCAGAGTTGATGTAATGGCTATTATTCCTGAAACAAGGTCCCCTTTGTGCACAGTATGTCTTTCATACGTTATAAAAGATATGTACGGTGGTGCTGCTGAACAGTCTTTGCATCTTCAAATTCACTCTGCCACCACTCATTCTTAACACAACATTCCGAGGTTAAGAAGGAGTTTTGTTATAATGCTGTGACTTTTTGTGTTTGGGAACATGGGAGAGAGCATTAGGAACCGTGCGAAATGGAGATGAGGATTAGGAAGAGGACAGTAATACAGAAAAGCAAGACAGAATAAGCAGTAAGGATGTGTTAAAATAAATAAAAAAAGAAAACAACTGGAAAATGAAACCATTGGAGGGGAGAGGTAAAGCCGTGTTTACAAAGGCTAGATGCAGGAAAATTTGGAACAAAAGCAAGTGCTGAAAAATGCAGGAGAAAAATATGGTTTATAGAAGAGACACTGGGAAGAAAGACTGACAAGGTAGGATTTGTCTTCAAATAGCAGTTTATCTTTTGAACAGAAATTTGAAGATTGTTTGCAAGTTTCTAGTCTCCTTTCTGCTGCACAGTTTCACAGAAAATTCCAAACTTTGCAAGCTTTGCTTAGGGAGGTACCAGCACACTGTGTCAAAATTTGCACCAAATTCCTGCATTGCATAGCATCTATCCAGTTTATTCTAAAAAACCCCATGATTATCAATAAACCTTTTTAGCTTACAACCCTCAGAATTCAGGGAATTTGTACAGTATGGTTTTGGGGTGTGTGTGCATCCAGATGCAGAGCTGAAAGCAGTGCCTATAAAATCAAAAATGTCGGTCGGGATCTCGTGAGCTGTTGAAGCCACTGCAGAGGCACGGCCTGTTTCTCCATTGCTTTTCCACTACAGAACACTAGTTTCAGTTGTTAATGTTTGCTAAATAGAAAGTTTTGGGATGAAATTTTTTTTTTCATGCTTGCTTGCTTCACATCACTGGTTGAATATTTCAGGGGGGGGTAAAAAAAAAGTAGTTCACTGAATTCAGAGACAAAAAGGGGGAGAGCTATAGAAATGTAGTTTTTTAAAAGGATTACATGGATTAAGTGAATAAAAGGCAATGAGTCAAGATTTTACAGAGTTATATAGACAGCCTTATTTCTGCTATTTGCTGACTGTTGCAAACTTGATGTAGCAGTTATGTGTCTCTGCGTTATTGGGTGTATATAATACATATAACCGAAGTGGGGCTTGTTAGGATGACTCTGGAGAGATCACACTTGTGATTCCATTCAAGATTTTCTCTAAGCTGCCCTTAGTTTTTCTGCAGAACATTACTAACAGGAAGAATTTTCTGCCAATCCATTTAATGGTTACAAGTGAAATTTCAAGTCAAAAAGAGTTGAACTAACCACGTTTCTCACATTTTCTGTTTTGAAGGGACTTGTCTTATAACAGTATAAAGGACCTCCCAAGTTTTAAGGGCTGCCACTCCTTGGAAGAAATGTAAGTAGAAATACACGTTGTTTGTCTTTATTAGCTCCTTAGGATGCTGAGTTGAAGTCTCTAGAAACTTTTTTGCTTTGTGTTTGGTCATAAGTTTCTGAGATTAAGGACACAGAGAAATAATATGACCATCTCATGTGAGGAGTGTGCTGGACAGAGAATTCAACCACTTGTGTTTTCCTCAATTACCTAAGGTTTAATTGTTCCTATGGCACAAAAAAGAATGAAGGAGGCCTTCATCCTGCATTTCATAGTAGTATTGCTATACACATAAATGGAACGAGCATTTGTGTGTGCCTTCCTGCCTCTTAACTCTTCCACTACTCTTTAGTTCCCCCCGACCATCAGCCTATGCTTGTGTAAAACGCTTTTTCCTCTAGTCCCTGTAAGAAACATTGAAAACCCATCTTTCTTTTTCCTTACTTCACTGTTTTAAAGCTTAAGCTTAATTTCCAGACCCTACACAATTTTTCTGCCTGCGCATGTTCCTACTTCTCGTACCTCTACTGCTTTCAAGCTTCTTTCCCCTTAACCAGAGTGAGACTAATGGACTTTTCACAGGCCTTTGCTTTTACTCTTGGCATCTTCAGGCTCATTGTATGCATGGTTCATTGTAAAGGGAGCCACTGAACTGGACGTATAATTTGCCTGTTAGCTCTTCTCAACATTTTCCTTTCATAAATCTGTATTTTGAGAAGCGAAAGCACACCCAGGGTAGGATTTGGCCTAAAGATGCCTTCGGCATTAAGTAAATTTGTTTCAAATCGCAGTGTGACTCTTCGAAGTTCACAAAATGTTACTTTTAGCTTGGAAAGAATTCAGTCCGCACCTAACACTCTCCTGTAAATTAAGAGCTGTGAATTGGGATTGGGCAGAGGCACCCCAAAAGAGCTTCGCGGTTGTATTAGCGTGGCTAATGCGAAGCGCAGAGCAGATACTTAAACAATTTGCCTACTGGGGGGAAACGAGAAAAATCTTGCCAAATCTGTGTATTAGCAGGCACCGAGTTATCCCGTGGTTTGAAGTCAGCCCAGTTTGCCAATAAAGTTCTGTTTCTTCTTCACTTTGCAGTTCCTTGCAGCATAATCAAATCCGTGAAATCACCGAGGATACCTTTCAAGGACTGTCCTCCCTTCGTATCCTGTAAGCATGCATAGTTACATACTGAGTAAAACAAGATAACGCTTTTGATTCTGATGTCAGGGTCTGGTGTTACAAATCTGATTGACGGCAAAAGGCCAGGCATGCTGGAACCTAAGGTGAAGCTAACCATATATGTACAAGAGATACCAGCAGCAGACAGTTTCAATCCCATTCTTTCTATTCTCCATTTTGCTTTTATAGACTATAAAGATATTTTTTTATATATATATGGAGATGTTTTCCAGTAGTCCACTATTTTTTCTTATACTACTACTATATTATTCCATTATATGCTATTTCTTGGAGAGATCCTACTTGTTTTCCTCAAGAGGAGCAGACCAGTAAAGAAAATTATCGCCTCCCCTTACATCTCTAGCTATATGAAGATTATATAGGAACACTGAAATTATTAGGAAAAAAAATCCACAAATTGATGGGTGTTTTAAAAGGAATGTCATAAGTCATAGAGTTCCAGTTGGAGCTGGATCTGGCTTCTGAAATCCAACAAAGCAGATGCCCTTCTGCTTGTTCTTTTGTCATCTTCCCCTACTCTGTCGACACGCCCTGCCACAGATGGGGTTGTCACTGAAGGGATGGTCCTGGCACCTCCAGCCTGGGAGTGGGTCCTTCTGGAGCTGGCCTCTGGCTTGGGAGCACAGGCGGAGCTGCTCGCAGAAGGAAGGGGAAAGGGGGCAGGAATGGGAGATGGGGGCAGGAATGGGAGATGGATTCTGCTTTGGGGATGAGGTGAAGCGGGATACAGCTGCCTTACCAAGGGGTTTGGCTGCTACTGCACCTGGCTGACCTGGGAGAGAGGGAAAACGGGAGTGGTGTTCGGCTTTTCTGTCCGAGGCAGCAGGTATTTGTCACCTTAGCTTTTTTTTCTCTTGGTACAGTGGCTGTTACAAAGTTTTGATAAAACTGCTAAAATAATCTCATTGGCATCATTGCAGTGACCTCAGCAGAAATCGGATCCATCAGATCCACAAGGGAGCTTTCACCACTGTCGGAGCTATTCTTAACCTGTAAGTAGGCTATTCTGTGCAGCGGCCTCCTCTCTCTATCATTAGACTGCTGAGATAGTAAAAGTTTTTAGCTTAAAACTGGTACGTGCCCATTCAAAGTTCCATCTGTGGATCACGAAACCTCTCACTAGCTGGATGTGTATGCAGGGCAGACTTCTTGAAGGTCTCTGCTGCACTGGCAGGCATCCAGCCTTGGTGTTAGACTTTAAAAAGCCTTCCTACTCCAATGAAGCGTGTGCTATAAGGATCTTCAAACTCGCTTTGTGGTAACACTGTCTTAATGTTCACGTTTCAGAGACCTAAGTTTCAACGAACTCACTTCAGTTCCAACTGAAGGATTGAGTGGACTGAACCAGCTTAAACTTGCAGGCAATTCTGAGTTGAAGGAAGCTTTGGCAGCAAAAAACTTCGCAAAGCTCCGGTATGTTGGTAAATAGTGCTGCAGAGTGCCTTGCTTACTTTGACAGCAGCAAGCAACGTGACAGTAAATGAAGCCAGCTTAGATAATACCCATGACAAATAATCGGGCCCTTTGCTGAGTCCGTCGGTACATGTGAAAGGGCATCTGACTATTCTGGTGTAGAAACTGTTTGCAGACAATTTTCTTGGAACTTTTTACACTTTTCCTCCATCACATTTCAGGCAGATATCATCTGACTTTAGAGTAGTGGTTGGGTGGATGCCATTTGTTACGGAACTGAGCACATCTGCCTTTCAGAGTGTGGAAGACGGGAGCAGACGTGCAGGTGTCTGATTCCACAATCACCACGCTTTGTACATCTGCTGTTTATTCGTGGAGGCAAATGATGAGAGTAACAGTAATCATTCCAGTGGAAACCTGGTACTGATTTCAGTGGGAGGCGGATCGGATAGTGATTAACGGCTTTGCATTTTCAAAGATCTTTCTGCACGTGAATATTTCAATCCTCAAGAAGCAGTTAGGAATTGTTTTCCATACTGTCCGATGGAAAAAATGGAGATGCAGATCCGGTTAATTTGTCTAAGGCCGGTGAAGGAATCAGTGTCAGGCCTTTGCTCAAAACAGCAGATCCATTTTTAGGTTTTGATCTGTGTTTGAGAAGTAATGCATTATGGGATCCTTTAGATTTTATGTTCCTCCTGAATGTTTACAAGAACAGAACTCAGGAACAATACTGCAGATAGTTGTAGCCTTGAGTCAGAAAAATTAGCTTCTGGTCTGCTGTTACCTCATTGTTTAGGTGGACTTCTTAAAATTCTGTATGCAGCTGTACTTCTCTACCAGGATTAACAGCATGCACCATTTCTGTCAAACACACACACAAAAATAGCACAAAAAATACAAAAACTCCTATAGGCCACAAAATGAAGAGGGAGAAGGAAAGATGTAATTTTTAACTTCGTGGTCATCTGGGAATTAACTTCCTTAGCAAACAGTTACTCGCTTAATTAGTTTTCAGTTTGATCTGTACAGCAATGCCACAGACACTGATCAGAATTTGTTTTGTATATGGAGGAGAATGAGGAGTAAAGTGCAAAACATCACAGAATTTTTTTTGTACTCCTTGCAGCAGACAAGACTTGGATGCATCACCTGTCCTTTATCTCAGTGCAAAAGTTCATCCAAAGTGGTTACAACTGATGCAATTTGAAATAGTTTTTTATTGGCGACCGTGAAAAAAAGAAGCTTCAGTTTTAGTACAGAAGTGTGCCACTTAAGATTACCATCTATTAAAAATATTTAACTCAGGTTACAATGGGTAACGCTCTCTGTTGTTCTGCCTGCGTTTCAGGTCGCTCTCTGTACCGTATGCTTACCAGTGCTGCGCGTTTTGGGGTTGTGATTCTTATTTAAACTCTAACGCTGAAGATTCCAGTCACCAAGATCAAGGTGCCTCGATGGATCGTGAAAAGGGTAAGTGTTTCATTGTGCTAAACAGGCAGTATTATTTTGGGCCAGAGTAGACGGAATAACAGTGCATGTTGCCTTTGAATAAGGAAATCTGGAACATGTAAGTTTTTATAGGAATACAAAAGCTGTCTTTGAAAGTGCTAGCTGCTTACAGATAGGCACTGCCATGTTCTTTCAAAATGTGTAAGATTTGCCTGTTAAAGGAAAAAAAAAACAAATTAATTTTTTTTCTGTTTTTAAATTCTAAACTGCCATTATTGTTTCTGTCATTTTCTGCCAGAACGAAAATGTTTTATGGTTCTCGGTATTTTGACCTTCGTGTTCAGAAAGGGCTAGTCCTTCTACTGTCTACTTCAAGGCCCTGGTGAGGAAAGATGTTGGTGCTTTGTTACAAAGCATTGTGAGTAGCTGGGACGGGCAGTAGGAACTCAAACTGCTGCAGCAATTTCCGCACGGAGCGTTCGACCTTACATGGCAACCCAGAGCAGCTCCACTTGTTAAAGGCTTGAATGTCGGTGAAGAGTTAGGCCTTTGATCTTTCAAAGGACTACTTCCATCCAAGGCAGCTTCACTGCATTTCACTTTTTTCTTCCTACAACTAACCTGTTTTTCATTTTCACTTGGCTACAGCTGATGCAGATGCTCTAAGAAATGAGGAAAATGAGGAACTGGGACAGACTATTATTCACTGTACACCCGCAACAGGTAAATCTTATAATGTGCTTTAGCCACATTGTGAACTTCAGGCATGGCGTTATGCAAATAGCTGTCTGCAGAATTACATGTTTTGTTCCTCATAGTCATTCTGTACACAGAAGATTAAATTCTACAATGCTTGGGTGAAACTTCATTTGATGTCAGTGTTGTTTTGGCTGAGCGCTCACAAAGATTTGTCTCAGCTTTAGACCCACAGCACTATATTGGAGAACATGCTAGGAAAAAAACCTGCAGTTTGTTTCCATAAGCAGAACATACAAGACTGTAATACTTTTATTCAGAGCTTGCCGTGTTTAATGCGCTGTCCCCTAATTCTGTGTTACTCGTGCCAAAGAGATGTCTGTGGAGCAGACTGTGTGAATGCTCATCTGTTTCAGTAGGAAGTCAGCCTGTGCTTTGAAAGCTTAACTGCCGTCATTGGTGTTTTAACTCAGCCGGATGTCTTTGCAGGAGACAGGATGAGGACCGCTCATGTGATCGGTTCCCCAGCCCTGCTATAGCAGCGTTAATCGACGGCAGAGGGCTGTTACAAGTAGCTGGAGCAGGCACTAGCATCTTAAACTGCTACAGATATTTTGCAATGAGTAGTCCTGTTGGCATACCAGAACTATTCCGATTCAGGCTTGAGCAGTCCAGGAGCGTTGAAAGTCTTTGATCTCACAAACCAGTATTTTCATTCTAGGCAGCTTCATTGCTGCCCTTCTGCTTGTCTTCCTTGAACTGCAGATTTCCACACACGGTTCCTCTCCGCTCCTAAAGCGCTTGCCTCCTTGCCTTTGCCACAGACTCTCCAGAGGAATCCTTCTATACATCCTTTCCCCTCCTGTTTTTATGAACAGGAACACATAGATGGGGGGAACAGTATGCTTCCAGTGAAGTTACTTCAGGATGAGCAGGGGTTTTCCAAGTCTTGTTTAATTCTCTTCTCCGAAACTGGTGTTTTACAGCCATTATGAAAATCTCTTTGCTCTTCATCTTTTGGGCTAGCTCCAGCTTTAGTATAAGAATATCACAAGGATTTCTTGATCACAGCCAAAAAAAATTGTGGTCAGAAAGTCAAATATATTATTAATGTAACTGTACGTGATCTGAGAATTAATTTGACCAATGCTGCTTATTTGCTTTTGATCTCCTGTTCACCGAATGAGAATTCAGGTGGTGCGTTACATGGCTTAAACCTTTAAAGCCTTCAGCTCTCTCTTTTTGCCCATGCCAGAGATGCTGTAGCTCTAAAAGGAACGAAGAGCTTGTTTTACAAGTTCACGATTTGCCTTGTTTTTCACCAGTCCCTCCCATACTAACGACTTGTTTTCTATGCCATGCTCTTGTCTGGTCATAAGTAGGACACTCCACCCACCATCTAAGTTCTGAATCATTGCTCATCTCGTAGATCCACTTTCCGCTTTGCCTAATGGCAGGAATGGATTGCTGAACAGTGACACTCAGGTAGCATAGCACTGAAAGCTGCGAACCTCATCCTTCTGAGCATGAATTTCTCCCAGTGGGCTGGGAATATTAGCAAGAGAGGAGGGGAACTTTTCATTCTAAGGATAGTTAGACCTGGGCAGAAAGACAGGAAAAGTGTGGTGGTTTTGCTTGTCTGAAGATAAGGCACTGTACAGCTACTAGAAAACAGACTTCAGGTCGATTTTGAAAGCACATCATTGACTTTTTTTAAATGTCCTCAGTAGGAAGCAGTAGATTCAGCTTAGCAGGTATTGTTGCATCATGTGATTGTATTATAAAAATAGCTATTCTGGCAGGGATGTCTTACTCAGGAATACCTGCAAAAAAAGGGATTTTACTGCTGATTTTACTGGTCTGATAATCCAGTTAGCACCATTATTTCTTGCCCAGAATTGAAGCTTACTCATTTAAACAAACAAACAGATTCTTTTTTGACTTGGCAGTTGGGTAATTTCTGGAAGTTGCTTTAGGCCTTGGGAGATTTTTACGATGCCATTTAATCGTTCTCCGCTGTTGCTCCGGCCGGCATTAGGGACGGGCTGTAGGTAGCAGCTTTCACCTGCCTAAAGGGAAGGCACGCGCTGCGGGGTGTCGAGGGCTGAATCCGGCTCAGAAGCTCCGACCCCGGGGTGGCAGCACAATTTGGTGTTTTTCTGCTCTGCCTTCAGCTCCCCAGCACCCGACTGCAGGGAGAGATCTCCCCCGCCAGCTATTGCGCTTCGGACAATTAGCAGTGCCTAATGGGGATGTAGCAGAGGTTAAACTCTTCTAATTGTTGCTTAAAATCAGTAGGATTTCCCCATGGAATAAATAGCAATTAGAAGGATTAGAAGGGTAAGCAGAAGTAGTGACCTTTTTTTCCTTGTCTTGCCTCATATAATTTTGCTTGTTGAATGTTTCTTTATTATTTAAGCTTTTTTAAATGGCAAAAGAAGAAGAACTAAAAAATCATTTTCCATGTATGACTTTCTAAGCTCTCAGTGCCTTTCAGCGACGAGGGTGGGGGAGAGGACTTGTGGTGAATTCCTGTCCCTATTAAAGCTGATAAGCTGAATTTGTCGACTGTTTTACAGCTGTTTCCTTGTGACCAAAAGTTACTCCAGAAGGCGTGTTTGTGAATCATTTTTGAGAGAACTTGTTAATTCTAGAAGATACTTTTGCCTTATAAGTCGGTTGTGAATATTTGCTTTTCTTTTTTTTTTTACCAACTTTTAAAATGGAAGTATGAAATCTAAAGAAAATGAAAAAAACTAGTTTGAGTAGCTAAAAGGTAATTAAGTTTGTTTAGCTAGTTTGTTTATACAAAGTATTCTCAAGTGACCATTCATCTCAGTAATTATTATTTCAGGCATAATTCATTAGTAAATAGGTTCAGCA